GGGGTGGGTGGTAGCGCTGCCAACTCCCTCCTTAATTTTATTTTTTCGCACATGCATACTGTTATTTCTCCGTGCTGTGGGGGTTAATTCCCCTGCAGCACGGAGTCTATTAAATGAACGAAACAAAATGAAAAGGTAATGCTTTTGGCATTTGCCCTTTCATTTAGTTTATATTTTGTTTGTAGGGCTTTCGTTTATGTTTTACTAAACGAATAAAAAAAAAACCTGAATTTTCGAACAAAATTTTCGAAAATGAATGCACATGTTTTTTAAAATAATATCTTCTGTAAATGTGAGTTTGACCACTAACAGGTTACATTTTATTTTGGGCTATGTTATTTCTGACACTGGATTCTCTATAGATCCAGAGAAACTTTCCGCTGTACTACAATGGCCTCAACCTATGGGTCTCCGCTCCATCCAGCATTTTCTTGGCTTCGTCATTAATAATAGAAGTTCATACGTAACTTTTCTTCCTTGGTTAAACCTCTCAAGGATATGACCAGGAGAGATGGCAAAGCACAACATTGGTCACAGGAAACCAACACTGCCTTTGAATCTCTCAAAATTGCCTTTGCTGCAGCTTCAAAACATCCTAAACGTGCCTTACCATTCTCAAAGACCACAAAACTCATACATATCTTTCTGAAGCTAAACTGTTTTACTCTTGGCAAGCTAGATGGGCTCTCTTCCTATCAATATTCAATTATGTGGTTTCTTATTTGCCCAGTACTAAAAACTTTATGGCTGTCCCCATGTCTTGACGGTTTTCTCCTCTATCAAGGGAGGAGATAACTCCGACTCCTGTGATTCCTCCGGACCGAATACTAGCCACTACCCATACTAACCTCACCCCTTGACGAGGAAATTCAGGCTGCACAAGTTAAAACTCCTCCAGAGTCATTGCTTTGTATCAATTCATCTCCACACTAACTTATTAGGTACATATCACAACTCCAAAGCAGCAGGACATCCAGGCAAAAAACAATTAATATGGTCCGTCTCTCAACAATTTTGGTGGCTTAGTCTCCATTCGTATGTCACCACTTTTGTAGCTGCCTGTCCTGTGTGCGGTCAAAATAAAACACCATGACACCCCCCAGTGGGTCTCCTGCAAATTATACCTAATGGTGAACGACCCTGGACTCATTTGTCAATGGATTTAATTGTGGATCTTCTGGTCTCCCGTGGCAATAAGGTCATTCTCATGGTTGTTGACTGATTCTCTAAGATGTCGCATTGCATTCCCTTGAAAAAATTTACAGACTTCTCTAGATCTTGCCTTGGTTTTTGCTCTGGAGGTCTTTCACTTACATGGGTTACCCAAAGTGATCATTTTGAATAGAGGTAGCTAGATTTTGGGAAGCTTTCTGTACACAAATGGGGATTTAGCTTTCCTTCTCCTCGGCCTACCACCCACAATCCAATGGTGTTCCAATATAGTTTTAGTTAAATACAGGGGTGTGTTTGTATGGTAATGTTTGTGTTTAATTGCAGGGGTGTGTTTGAATGTAATGTTCACCTTTAAATGCAGATGTACATTTATGTGAAGTGTTTGTGTTTGAGTGAAGGGGTGTGTTTGTATATCCTTTTAACAAAAGTATGTATATGTTGGCACTCAAACTTTCATTTGGTGCAGGTATCAAGGTTCCCCACCTGTGACAAACCTAAAAATACTAAGAGAAAAATATAAAAACTGATACCACACTCCAATAGTAAATGCTCAAGAAAAGGGATTTTAATTTGTATAGCATATTATACACCAAAATGTTCTCATCAATAAGAATCGGATACATGTTAATTTTACGGTGAAGAAAAAGGAGTTATTTCCCAATAAGAGGTGTATAGCACATCACCTTTAACACATACATATACTGACATACACACATGCACCCTGACATACACAAACATTGATACATGCACACACCATGACACAGATACACAGATTGACATAAAAACACAGATGCACATACACAAATGCATACCCTGACACACACCCCGAGGCAAACCCTGACACACACACATGCAGATGCACACCCTGACACACACACACACACACACTCACACAATGCACACCCTGGTACAAACACATACACACCCTAATACACACACAAGTGATATTTTTTATATCTCCAGCCACTCCCCTGTTAGCTTACCTTATGTCTCCAGGAGGGTGGCTTGGAGTTCTGCTGGCTAGTGTGAGTGAGGGGTCTGGAGCAGCTCCTGGAGTGCTCCTCTCCCCTCATGCTGTGGCTGCCTTCTCCTGTTATGGGCAAATGTAAATATTACAAGTTTTAGAATGAAATGTTGTATTTCTTAAACTGTGTACTTTGTCTTTAAGAGATATTGCAAACTGACAAGGTGTTAGAAATGGAACATATTGTTTTTCATAACTGTTTCTTTAAGCAATAACCTCAGTGCATAATATGTTTGCGCCATTTTGTCCCAGACGAATTACAATAACAATAATGCATAAACAAGCTTCAAGGCTATACTATGACTCTTGCAGTACACAATATACTGTGGTAACCCCAAGTTAATGGAACTTCCCCAAATCCGGGAATCTCCCACGACTGTACACTTACGACTTAGTATAAACAACAGATAACCTATTCAGACTTTAAGATGCCATCTTGAACTAAGTCAGGAAAATTTCCATGACGTATGCACCCTTTAGTTATGGCCTTGTATGTTTGCCAAATTAAGGGAGGTCCTAAAATGAATAAAGTAAATGAACTACGGTAACACTAAAATGGAGACACCTAAGGTATAAATAGGTGTACTTTTAAATGTTAAGACACAGAGGAGAGACTTGGAGACAGATGCTGCTCCATCTTAAAATGACAGAGAGGCTGACATGATGACATGTTCAGAAGGGTATGTTAACCTATTAATGATATTTGCAAGCATTTAATTTAATCTTATAAACTCTGCTATAATGGATTTTATATTTATATTTTTATATAATAAATATCCAAAAAGACAAAACTATTGCTTCCAAGACAATCCTTATTTTATATTGTATTCTCAATTATTTATATATGTTAAATAGTGGATCTCTTACACTATATAAAATTATGGCTAAGATATCTGTATGGTTAGCCCTATTAAGTTCTTTGCTTTAAGACATTATAGTGGTAAATAAGGGAACCAGCCACGGTTACACTCCCTCTCCCGCACTTTCTCCCTGCACGAAGCTGGAAGGAAGTGACAGGCTGTCACTTCCTCCCAGCCAGCTGACACTACAGGGGCCCAGTCGTAGTCTTAAAGGACCACGGCACCCGACCAGGCTCCTGTTCGGCAGTAATGCTTCCCAGTGCTATAATCATAGCACCAGGGAAACATTCCGTGGCGCCCCTGTGTGCCCTGGGGCGCCGCAGCACACAGTTTGGGAACCGCTAGTATAACTTGACAACTTACTCGGGGCTGAAGAGCAGCTGTAGACACAGACGCTTTTTATATTGTTCTGCTGCAGTACAATGTTCATAGCCCTACTGAACCAAACAGGACTACGTGGGACAGCACTCATTTGCTGACAGTGTCAGCTCAGCACTCTCTAGCAATCAATGAATCTCTGTAACAACTGTCTATTTAATTCTCAGGAGGAAAAGCCTGGATCTGACATTAATGTCCAAGGGATCCAGGTAAATTTTCAAAGCATAATAACACACTTTGACTTCTTAATGAGGGATGGTACCAGGACACTGCTGGTACCATAGCCACTAGAACAGGCTATAGTGGTTCAGGTGCTTGAAGTGTTCATTCGGTTTGTGACTCAATGTTGAGTTGATTTTCAAATATGTTTGCATGATTGCATTTATGGAGATTTTTTTATTCACTTATATGGGCTAAACCTAAGAAAAATCTTCCTGAGCTACATTAGATTGGTACAAATGATCACCCATGTCTTTGCAGAAAACCTTTTAAAAACAGAGTAGAGTTTGCTTTAACTAGTCTTCAACTAGAGCAGTTGATGATTTAAATATAAAAATATCTATGTTATGCTGTAAACGCAAAGAACGTTTTTAATTTAACTTGAAACATTGTAATAAAACTTTTCAACGGGAGACAAAACTTTTTAATTTGTGTGCTAATGGTATTCATTTTTATTGGGGAGGACAAAATACCATTCACTCTCTGCATTTTACTCTATTATTTAAAAGACTCTGACATTAGAAAGTTCTGAGAAAAGAGGTTTCTTTTGACAGAAACATAACCCTGCACTTAACATTATAATTGTGAAGCATTCATTCCTAGGTTTTAATGCAAGAATTCATTTAAATTGCATTGAGAGAAAGAGGTAATATTTTAGTGATATATGGTATTATATCTTCAAGGGGAATATAAGGTGCCAAAAATGCTACAGTGTGAATCGTGCTGTAATGTTTATTATGTTTTGATATTCAAAATCCTTTGCAATATCGTTTTGTCCTTCAAGCAACCGGCAGATGCCAAACTGAATATTTGGGATTAATGCCAGTCTTCTTTTAAGTGCTCTTTCTTAGTAAATGTGTGAAGGGTATTTTGATTATTTGAAACTCAAATGTAATTTACAAGACCAACTATTTCCAAATATTGTGCATTTTGTTAAAACATATAGGGGAGAAGTTATCAAAGGGTTATTCTCTAAAAAGTTGCCTGAAGTAATACAAGTGGGACAATCACCATGGAAACCAAGGAGAACCAACAAGAATATACTTTTGAGGACTCCTCTTTTTTTACAATTTTCACCCACAGAACACAATAATAATTTTCCCACCATAGAGTGGCGGCATAGGTGGAAGCAGCGGTGGAGGAGGAGGATGAGGTAGCCAACACTGTTTATTATGTTTGTTTGTTTTTAATTGTGGTAGCCCACAAAATATTGGGACATACAAAAAAAGAAACATTTGCGGCCTGCGGAGCATTTCTTGCAGTCCTGATGCATGGAGAAAATGCCTTCACAAGTCTCCGCTCATGTGTACATAGTTTATACTAAATGACCCATAGGTTGAGGAGGCGGTGACCGTGGCGGTGTACGTGGAAGCGGTGGTGGAGGAGGAGGATGAGGTAGTCAACACTGTTATATATATATTTTTTTAAATTGGAGTAGTCCCCAAAATATAGGGACATATAAAAAAGACAACTCTCTTCCGCAGAGTAGCTATTGACATTATAGTTGCGCAGGAACTTTGTTGACTCTAGAGAACCTCGGGCCAATCGCACATCCTCATGACGGCGACTTTGCATTTGGATGTCATCCATATCAACTTTTGGTGCCAGTTTCTGCACCTACCATGGTGACCACGGGTAATGGGGAATCAGAGTTCCATTCCATACAGGGACCCTGAGAAATGGCTACCACATGCAAGGAAGGCAGCAGGCGCGCAAATGACCCACTCCCGACGCGGGAAGGTAGTGACGACAAATAACAATACAGGACTCTTTAGAGGCCCTGTAATTGAAATCCTTTAACTCTGATCAATTGGAGGGAAGTCTGGTGCAGAGCCACTGACCCATGCGTGCTGCAGCTGAAACTCCACTATCACCTGCTGCTGCTCGCAGTCTCATGAGGCGGTGATCGGGAAGGCCAAAGTTATGCTGCAGTGCAGACAGGTGAGCAGCAGCAGGGTGACAACGCCAAAAGCACGCACAGCCGCTACAGTGAATGTCACATCCCGTTGCAAGTTGCGGATCAGTCTGGTGATGGCTTCTGGTATCCAGTACTCTTTTTACTGAAGCTGCATCAGGGTTCTGGTATGTGGCTGCACAAACGCTGGTGCTCAACACCAGGGGGCGTGCGGTTACCCTGCACTAGACCCTGATAATTCATTCCACACTGTGACTCCTAACTTCAAAATCAGGCATACTGGCTCCCGGTCGTCTGACCGCCGCCCAGACAGTGTCTGGGTCCTAGTCACCGGACTGCCCACCTGACTGTGAAACTATGAATGGATTGTTAAATCTGGTAAGAGCCCGAACTTTGCAGTTTGGGTTCGTTCAACTCTATTATGGATCCTTTGATAGCTACATGTATTACTTGGATAACTGGTAATTCTCGAGCTAATACATGCCGATGAGCTCTAGGGGATGGCCGCTCCATTTTTGCACCCTGCTCCCTCTTATGCTGTGCTGGTGCCTCTGTGCGACCAGCGCCTCTTCCTCCAAACTGCACACGTCACTCGCATGACCTTGATTCCATGTGGGGTCTAGGACCTCATCATCCTCCACATCATCTTCCACCCACTCCTCAACCCTGCCCTCCTTGCCGGTATGCACACTGCAGAAAGCCACAGCAGTTGGCACCTGTGTTTTTCCAGCATGTAAAGTCTGCAAAGGACATATGGAAATTGTTTTAGAATTGTATCCAGGCAACAGTATTCCCTATAAACTGACCTCTCAGTTTGACTTGTGAGGGTATTGCCCCAGAATTACAATATTGTTTAAATACCTCTTAGCTATTGATAACTGGTTTAACCCCTTAAGGACCAAACTTCTGGAATAAAAGGGAATCATGACATGTCACACATATCATGTGTCCTTAAGGGGTTAAATATAGCAGCTTGTTATCTGGTAGTTTCTAGTGTAGAAAATATCAATCTGTTTTCTATCACTTAGATCTGTGTAAAAAGTGTTGTAGGTGTGAATCAATATTACAAGTGACCGCACAAAGTATTACTTCAATTATACTTTAATGGGGAACTGTCATTTGCCAGGTTTTTAGCATTATGTCTACATTTAAATAATATGTACTAATGTGTGAAGTGTAAAAAAATAAAATTACATTTAGAATTTCTCATCACTTTATTCTGCAACATAGTGGCTGCATCTTAGCACTATGTAGCGATTCATCTGAATTTTGGGGCACCGGCAATTCTGCACGTGGATGAAACGCACAGCAAACAAAATGGACAATGGACTAGGCATTTTGTTTGCTTTATGATTCAGAGCTGAAATGCTGCAAGATCTTCAAGCAAATTATCTATATTTTAAGGGCACAATTTAAATGCATTTGTATCTAGCGCTGAAGTCCTTTACCGGTGTTATTTTCTGCAAAAAATTATATATATATATATATATATATATATATATATATAGAGAGAGAGAGAGAGAGAGAGAGAGAGAGAGAGAGAGAGAGAGAGAGAGAGAGAGAGATTGTGTATTTAGTAAATGTACAATATATAAATACAGATTTTCTACCGCTCTTCTTGATCTACGAGCTAAATGGTGCAAAACTATTAATGTACTGCAACATTTATACATAACATGTAAACTGATTAGACAATTTAATTCAAATAGTTTTCCCCCAAAAAATGTCATGGACAAAATTTGTCCAAACCACCACATGAATGACTTTCAGGACACATGAATATTATTATTTTTTTTTATATGGCCAAGTCGGATAATACAAAAAAACTACTTTTTTTTGCAGTGCACAAGGCTAAGTAATATTGCTATTGACATCACATTAAAAATCGTTGTTTTACTAAATATACTGAAAGGATTTCAGAAGATCATTCTGTCAGGTGAATAAAGTTGAATATTATCTTACTTAAAACCCCAGCTCATGCCTGGAAAAGAGATGATAAGATGCTGGTTTATCTGTTTATAATAGGTACTTATCTGTGCTACAAATCATACTGGCTACTATGCTAGTACTTTGTGTCGGTGTAAAATATGGAGATTACAAAACTTCCAGTGTTAAGAGTGACAGCTTGTTTTTCATAATCTCTTAGATTTTCATTTATCTAGCTGCAGGATTCCGCTATGGGACACAAAATGAATGATAAATACTTCTCAGTTACTTCAATTACAGAAGGATGTATGTTGAACAGATGTTAATGGAGCAGAGCACAGATCCTTTCAGGCCTTAAACAGTTGTGGAAGAAAAAATATTTATAACTGACCAGTGGGATACATTGTGAGATAAAATAATCCCTAACTGCTATGTTCATTATCATGTAATCCTGCATTTTGTATCACAGTTGAAACAAAGTCATTGCTTTACTTAACTCCCTAATAGCCAAACATTTTGATGCTAAAATGTATTAAGGACCAGAGCACTTTTTTTTTTTTTTTTTCTGTTTGGTCAGCTGTAATTTTTCTCTTTCGCATCAATATTACATGTATTGCACGTACAGATAGGAATTTCTTGTGATATTCAGTAAGCTAATCTAAAATTCAAAATGTAACTCTACATTAAAGCATGTTTTCTTTAAAAATGTATACCTAGTTACTGTAGAAAAGGAAATCACTCCAAAATAAACTTATCTTATGTGTTTCAATTTTGAGAATTCCTCAAATGTCTAGAATTTCCATCAATTCTTGGCACTTACAGACCACAAATTATTGTTTTGAAGTATTACAGATTCATAGCTAATGGATTTCAAAATGTGTCAAGCTGACACTCAAATAGACATCAAGGAAACAAAAAATGGTGAGAAAGTTTTATGTTTTTCAAAGGTACACTTAGGTTATTTACCTACTAGCATTCTGATTTAATCTAACCCATTTTTATGGCCGTAGCTTACTAAAACATTTGTATTAATATTTAAGGTATGTGTGTATGTAAGTGCTTTTTTACTATTTATTCAGTGATAGTGGTGTACAGATCCATGTACCACCAGTTTTATTACATGACACACTTTTGTACTTTTTGTAGCTTTTATCCTAGACTCGTTTTGTACTTTATTATATTGAGACTATAAACAAAGGTTTAATATGCCCCCAGTAAAATATTATTTATCTTTTAGACCTGTGGTAGACCGGTTTTCGGTCACTAAGTTAGATTTAAATATAAAATCGCCATATACTGAATGAACAAATGTATTACTAACAATTGTGAATGCACACAGCCATGCAACCAGTGACAATGCAGAAACTATACCAAATATGTTTGGAATAAAAATGTATTACATATATTATACCGAAACAAAGATTACAAAATATTAACTAAATACATAAATAACATTACATGCAAATTGCAGACTAAGATACCTAATGAACTGTAATGTAGACCTGCGATCCCTACTTAAAGCATATCCATAAAATTTAACCTATGCAAATACAATGTTGCATTAATATTGCAAAATGCATTAGCCAACATTATAAAATTTATGTATCCAGTTCCTCATTAAAACCACTAGGCTAAGTGTTTCAAAATTTAAAATCCACTTTGTCTCTACTCTGAGCAGGGCTACATGCCATATGGGATGCCAGATATGTGCAATATATCTCACTCACAAACCCTTCTGAGTTAGAATTAAAGCTGGATTTAAAATGTCTTGCTATGGAAGTTCTTGATTTCTTAATAAGAATGGAATACGGTTGTTCACGGAATCTGATTTTAAGTGAGCGACAAGTTTAGCCTAGGTGCTGTAACCCCCAACTACATTCCAGTAAATAGACTACATAGGTGATTTTGCACTTACAGGGATACTATAAGCATTAAAGCAACTTTAGCTTAGTGAAGTAGTTTTAGTGTACAGATTATGATCCTGCCATCTCACTACATATTTCTCTGTCCTTTATGAGTTAAATAACTTTTGTTTCTGTTTATGCAGCCCTAGCCATACCTCCCCTGGCTGTGAGTCACACAGCCTGCATAAAAAAATTGTTTCCTTATTAATCAGATGTTAATTTGATTTAGAAGTTTTTATCTCCTGCTCTGTAAATTTAATTTTAATCACACACAGGAGGCTCCTGAAAGGGCTGGAAGGCTATTAACAGAGAAAGAGATGCAAAATTATAAATTGAACAGACTGTTTAAAGGAAGTTTAAATAGTGGGTGTCTCTTTACAGGAAGTGTTTAGGAAGGGAGGGCAAATCAAATGCAGGAAGGTGTTACTAGGGCTGTATAAACAAAGTGATTTAACTCATAAATGACAGTTAATTGAGCAGGGATACTGCAGGGGCATTATCTATATACACCAAAACTGCTTCATTAAGCAAAATTTGTTTTGGAGCCTATAGTGTCCATTTAATACAAGACTTTATTATATGTTAACTATCATTGGTAAAGATGTAAAATATTTTTTTCCCTTGGACCATATATGAGCAGGTTAGGCAAGGTGTATTATGACACTTCTAATTTCCTATCCTAGACTTAATAATTATCTTTCTCAAAAGGGTATTAAAACAATGTAGTCCAGTAGGTGCCAAAATGTTCTTTAAACGTTGTGCTTTTATAAACATTATCTTTACAAACATTACCAGTATGGTAACCTATTTTAATAAGGTAACCCATTTTTATTGAGGATATCCATAATCCTAACATAGTATTTACTACATGTGGCTACTAATACTGAGCATTATCTCTTCTTAAAGTCCTTACCACTGCTATTGAACCCATGCTTATTATTTTTCTGGTGGTGTTCACTTTATCCAGGTCTTCTAGAATGTGTCAATGGTAATGGTAAATAA